CTGTAGGAGACGGGACCTCCATTTATTCGTCCCTATCCGATAAGACTAAAATATCTAACCATTTCTTGATGTTATAGAAAGGTAGCATATTCTTCTCAACTATTTTAAGACCCTGAGTTTTGGTCCGGCCGGGGCTCGAACCTTCGACCTCCCGCACAACAGTCCAGCGCCCTATCCATTGAGCTAACCGGGAGGCGGTTAGCCCATAAGGGATTCGAGTTGTCATGGTGGTGTTGAGTATCAATTTCCCTCTTAGTTAAATTTATATTATAGACCCTTACGGATGTTCTTCCCAAAGACATGTTTTGACGCGCTATTTGAAGCAGAACAACCATACACCGTGCGTCAATGGAAAGTTTATGAAATTAACTATTCGGCAAAAATTATTTTGTTTTAGTTTCACCTAATCGTAAACCGAATGGGGTGCGTCAGTCCGAAATGGACGATGTTTCTTGGAACAATTAATTGGATGTCAAATCTGACCGCACTATTGAAAGTTCTGCACAATTTCAATCCTGAGGGGTAAAACTTAATGGCTGCTGATCGAGTGCGACCAGCGAAGATTCCTTAAACCACGAGCCTTTATCCGTTTCGGTGAGATTGCAACCCAAGCCCCCAACATCACACACATTACGCTTGAGCCGTTTGTGGGTGAGCACGTGAAAAGTTTATAAAGCACGAACCGCATTACTTGTAGAAGATTTTCAGAAGAGGCTCGTTTGATCCGCTTCATCCTCGCAGCTTTCTTGTAGAAATCGGACAGTTCTGCTTTCATCTTTCCTTTGTCGCCATCACGTAACTGAATACCTCTCTCCCTCAAATAATTTTTCACTTTTCCACCCTGAATTCCGAGAGATATTCGCTCATTTTTACTACCACTATTCGTTATTCTTTATACCAATGACAGCGACTTCGCACTTAGCCTCGTTCTTTCGGCACGAGATCACTGAACTGAGAGAACTCAGAAACATCGCTGAATGAAGACATTGGGATAGAGAAACTGAGCAGAAATTATAAAGAAAACTTACGAGAAATAGAGGTATGCAAGAGGAAAGCACAATTTGTAACATGCTACTGAAGAATTATTCAACTTGAACAATGAAAACGCGATTTTGTAGCCACAACTACCTTACTACTGCGATTGCATACTGCAGGCTCTGCAAGTCGTTCTTGAAGGCGCGCGCTTTGTCTTCCTTGTAAAGATATAGAAACAACCACCACCACCAACCAATATATTCTGCATATTTACTTTCATGTATAGTTTTTATTACAATTTAGTTAGTCATTATAAATTAGTTTTAATATTAAATTTTAGTATCGTAGGCCTTCACAGATGAAGAGCCACACCTTTTTATGTGGATATACTGTGAATAAACCGTTATTATTATTATTATTATTATTATTATTATTATTATTATTATTATTATTATTGCGATCGAGATGAGGATCCGGACAATCTGTGTGGAAAGTTTTTTCAGTTTGCAAGCCTGGGAAGCAGTTTAAAAATTTCCGGAGCGTTTTCAGTGAAATCAATGTCAGTTGTAGAATTAAGACTGGTCTAATCAAGAGAATATTCATATTCTCCTCAGTGCCTAAATTTATTTCTATTGTGAGCGACAAAATCACGAGACCAGCATCGAGTCGTGTGCACGGATTCAAACTCCGTCCAGCTATATTTCCACTCGTAGTACTCTCTTTTTCCTTACAGAAAATTTGTTTCTGTTGCCTTAGCTCGAATTGAGGCTTTTATATTGACTCCTCGTTAGAATTTACCGGATGTGCTTTTAAAAATCGTTTAAACTTGATAAAAACCATCGATCTAATGAAAACTGAAAGTGCAGACAGCAAACGGTATTGCCATAGAATCTTGAGTGCTTATCATGGCACTTCCCAAGTGGATTTTGTTTTCATGTAAATAAGATTTTTAGTGAATATCCAACTGAGAATCCAATTAGTTTGTCGCTGCAATTTTCATGCAGCAAAAACATGCCAATTTTTCCTTCGCAGTGAGTAGTTTGGGGAATTCTACTGGAGAATTTCTGAAGGATTTTTCCCTTTAAAGCGCGCAACGAAAAATAAAGGCTTAACTAATGAGTTAAACTCCATTTTAAGGACGGTGCCTGCTAAAAAGGGATCGAATTTTGCCCGGCCCATGACTATGCAATTCAAAACTGGGGTCACCTCGCACTGACTAAGGTATTTATCTTTTTGTGCCAACTAATTGTAATGAGTTGCTAGTAATCTTATCCCTGTGTTTGCGCACAGATTTCTGGGATCGCCACGAGGCAGACATTGCAAGTTACTAGAAGGAAACATATGGGGGTAGATTGTTTCGACGTCCGACGGTTGTTTTTTGCCGCAGTCTATTTTATTGGTCCTAGTTATATTTCTGACGTTTAAATTTAAGACATGTAGGCTATAATCTCAGGGGTTAAGGCAGTAATCTGGCTCAACCTCATTTTAATTCTGAGTGGCTGCATTAATCTTTCTTCTTCATTGCCAGTAAGCTATGGAATAAGTTTCCTATGGAAGTTAGGAAAAGTGAAAACATCAGGGCTTTTAAAACAGCTTTGAAGAAGTTTGACTTAGAATTGCTTTTTTTAAGAGGCATGTTTGATAACAGAGCTACCGATATTTTATTGAACATCATAATAGTTATAGTAGCTGGGGATTTCTTCAGTATTACATATTTCATATATATATCGGGTTAGAAGGGACGGTTAATTAATGATGAATTATACATTATAGTAGTTGGGGATTTCTTACTGCACATTTTCGGGTTGGAAGGGACGGGTCATAAATCATAAATTGTAAAGACTACGATTTTCATACTTTTTATTATATGTTATACCATATTTTTTAGTATTAAGCACGTGCACGTTCTTACGAGCTTTGTCGTAAGCTCTTTTGTGTTCAGCGTGAATAAATAAACTTACTTAAACTTACTTACTTAAACTTAAACATGGGTTGAAATAATGTTGATACGAGGGAAGTGTAAGTTTTGTTGGAATTACCGCGAAACATGTTTTTAAATATGCTAATAAACCTCTCTCCTTGCGAAAGGTATATTGTGAAATTGTCATAACGTAATGGTCTCGACACATTGAAAAAATTAGTCATAAATCGCTAAGAAACGACTCATCTGAGTCTTTTCATTTGTATTTATGTAGGTAGAGCCTGTTTTCATACTTGTTGACGTTTCAAATAAAAAGATTACGACGTCTGAAAAGATACCTCCTCAAGGGTGAGAAGTCGTTGTCAGCGGAGAGGGAAATTCTTTTTACCGAGCTGTTGCCCTTTGGAAAGATTAAATAAGCGATAAAAGATAAGGAAGTCCTTAGGTCTAGCGATAGTCTATTTGATAAAAATAAAAACAAACATTCTTGTGAAGAAAGCTAAGGCGTTGTAAAAAGTGTAGCGCTCACAATAAGTAAAGTATATCTTAAAAGGAAGTTCGTAGGAAATTGGTAAAACAATCGGCGTTTCAAACCTAACAGAACCTTCATCACGGAAATAACATCGGGCGAGCTCGGATTTCGTAAATCAGAAATCGACCCGAGATGAACTACTTCTGAAAGATTTCGGTATACACTTTCCGCGTAGCCCGAGTCAATAAGCTCTTCGACAGGGTTGTGCCTAAACTCTACCGGCTAGAGGTACGCCGGAGGAGCACTAGTGACGAGTTTCCGAGTCGAACGATTATCGGAAATTGTTGGTTTTTCCGATATGGCGGACTGTACGAGTAACCGAGTATTTTGCGTTTCAACAACAGTCAAGCGACGTCATTGAACCGGACTTCAAAATTATACATAGTGTACATTTAAATGATACATTGTAGAGGTTAAATCAAGGAAATTTCTCTAAAAACAAATTCTAATGCCATTGCCACAATGGATAAATTATGTCAAAGGCCAAGTACTTTTTGAAAAAACTTATTGCCTTTGACTACCATTAAAAGGATTAAATCATTATGGTGATTTGTATCCAAAGTAATCATTTGTGAAAAA